TACACAGAGACAAAATGCAAGGGAGAGTCACATTCGAACAATTGTCACAGGTGGGCCTCAGGAAGGAGCGGAGGTCCGTGAGACAGGGAAGGCTTCCTCTATCTCACTCTCTCTCTTTGTCTGTCTCAGACAAACAAGTGCGGGAATCAACTTTCACCTCTGCAACCCCCTCCTCCTCCTCCTCCTCCTCCCGTTTTCTTGGACTTGGCAACATTCAGCCAACCGTCGGTGAAAAGGCTATCGGTGCGTAATGTTTGGGAGTTGTTCGGCCGACATTTTGTTCCCAGTCGGCTTCTTGCAGGCAGTGCGAGTGGATTGAGGGACTGTGCTTCCGCAGACTATTTTTTGGGAAAACTTGGAAATTTAGAATTTGTCATCATCAAGTTTGATTTTCTGAATACCATCTATACTGTACTTGCTTCTTGCTGTGCCTTTTTTTTTCATATGTGTGCTCACTCTCTGTGATTAACATTACAAATTGTGACTGATGGGTAAAATAAACAAGCTCTATAAATTCAGTTCCTGGAGTTGAAATCAGCTCATCCAAAAGAAAATTCGTGAATTCCCAACTTTCAGATGCAATACGTTCATGGTGCAGGGGTATATGGGAAGGATAGAAAGCAAGGTCTAACCCAGGGGATCATCTCAGTGGATCAACGCATTTCCACATCCTTTTCTTTTTCCTTTGCACACTCCTTTCACAAACCCTGTCTCTGCTGCTGATTAATCCTGTGGTCTCTCTCAGGAAACCTCATCTGGTTTCTACGCACAGATCTCAGGATGTGGGCTCAAGTTAAGTACTGTAGTGGGAACCTCAAAATGGATCCCTGGATTGGATTTGCTTTTCAGAAGCAATGTATCCTCCTTAAGTGTAGGTGCAGTACATTCTTCGTACATTATTACCGTAATTTTTTTCTCTCTCTTGTGTAGCAGTGAGTCCAAAGTGTGCGCGGATGAGACGGCTCATAATTGAAGGAGGCACGGAATACTCAAAGTAGTTCTTGTTAATCTCAATAGCAAATGAGATTGTATGGGATACAATCCAAATGTGTACAATACTTAATCCAGATGTGCATCATTTATATAGCTTCCTATACTGCTGTAAAAACTTGCCATGTTGCGCACTTTAATTGCAAGAGGTTAAATTGGTGATTCAACTTGGAATTTGATGCCAATTTTTGGGAAGAGAAGAGGTATTGTGGGGCGCAATACAGTACTGTAGTGTACTGCAATTATATTCGTATCACATCCTTTCATATTGTACTGTGCCGTGCCAAACCTTTTGAGCAATGTGAGTCATGTGGTTGTTGGTTGGCAGACCAGGTACTGCAACGCAAAGATAAAATATAGTAAGACTTTGTGTGGCTTGCAGTCTTCTCAGTAAAGCAGAATGGACAAGGTAGTCTAGTCTGCAGTAATCACAACACAGTACAGTATAAAAAGGCACTTGTACTGCTTTAATAGCCGTTGTGAACACAGTATACACTTTCAATTAGGTGTATAACAAACGATCCAGTCCAAACGGAGGCTGTACACAGAATGAGGCTGAGTGAGGCCTCTTATTCAATGGTTGCCAAAGATGATGGCTGATGCAAGCGTGCGCTGAACAGTACTGTATTGCGTCAGCTGGCCTCTGTGTGGCTTTAAAGAACAAAGGTATAAAATAATCAAGTGTGCTGTACAAGGACGTCACGTGGGACCCAATGGCAGGCAGCTGCCATTACTACTGTATATGGCCAGAAGTCACGCGGCTCACTAGCTCAGCATAGAGTTACAAAATAGTGTAGGTGCTTTCTCCAAATTTACAAAAGTAAGCTAGGAAACTCAAGCACAAGCAGCAGTTGTGGTTCTGGTGGGTGCTTTTCCAGTGCCAAGGAACCGAATAAATTCTGTACTACTCGTACAATATATAGTACAGAACTGCAGCACTTGATTGCCGTGTATCAGCATTGCTTTTGGATTGCAAATATAAGGGCTAATTTTTTCCTATCTGCATTGCCATCAGCAAGGCTGCTGATGGCCAGAAAAGAATAAAAAAAAACAGTCTGTAGGAAGACGCATAGAAAGCATTCAATACTGTAGTGCACAGGATAATCAATTGAGGTTGCCTCAACAACTCAGACCAGAAAGAGGTTTGTTGAGTCTTTTACTTAATAAGTGGACAACTGTACAATAGGTAGTGGATTGCAAGCTTGCATTTGCGGGTGAAAGAAAAATTTCCTCTCTTGGCTCCATTTGGGATGGAGAAAGAAGTGGTTACTGAGTAAAAGCAGAGAGGGTCCTCTCTTGTGCTCCCTGCGTACTGTAGTACAATACAGGAATACAGCACAGTTTTCCTTTTTTCATTCTTATTTTTTCTTTCTCTTTAGTCTTTGTGAGATGGATAATGAAGCGGCGGGACGGCGGCAGTAAATCCCTGGATTCCATTTTCTCAGTGCGGATCTTGCTGCAAGCTCTGCTCTGCAAATGCGGCGGAATTTTCCCTGGGCTTAATTCTTCTGTGCCTTTTTTTTTTTTGTGCTTTCCTCATTCATCATGTATTCCTGTCTCTCTGTCCCTCGCTGCTGTTATTTCCAGCCGTACATGTGCTACGCTTCCCTGTGTTCTGGTTTTTAATATTGCACCAAAGAAACACCTATCCTTTTTCCTTTGCTCTCTCTTTTTCTCATCCTTCCTGAGCTCTTATCTTTTTGGCTTTCCTCTCCTCCTGACAATTTTTTTTCTTTTTTACCGGGAGTAATTCTATCTGGGCAGGGAGAGATGTGGCATAGGTAGAATGTTCAAGAGAAGGGAACGTGTTTCGACTTGAAAAAATAAAAAAACTCTACTCTGAGAACCTCTGGAGAAGTAGAAAAATTGAAAAAAGGAGGGGGGGGGGGGGAGGCATTCTCATCAGCGCCGCAGAATAATGCTGGTGACACTGCAGAGAAGTAACGAGAAAGATATGCAATTAAGGTGAGGGGTTGTAATAAAAGCCAGGGACACATCACTGTTCATGAGTAGCGCAAAGGACTGCCCCTCAAAATATGGAAGATCTCCCTTGGTCTGCTGTTTTTTTTTTCTCGTTACAATATTGTGGAGCACATTAGTATTACTGTACTGTACATACAGTCCTCCTTTGTGAGCTGTTTTCATTTTGACGCGAGGACTGCCGGGGACTTTGGCAGAAATATCTAGTAGTTTTGTCTCAACTGCTGCTGCTTTTGCTGCTGCTGCTGCTGGGCAGGGTGGCAACATTTAATGCATTTAGAGATGCTTTCAAACAGGTTTGGATTCCAGCATAAATTAGTGTAGGTGTAAGTGTTGAGCCGGGGTTCCTTATTATTCCGTCCTTCCTTTGCTGCGTTTGCCTGGTGTTGCAGATTGTGCACGTGTGGATATAGGAAAGCATCGCGTGTTTCAAGATGACGTGCAGATGAGTTCCCACGGCGTTATGTGTAGTAGTTTTGCATTTGTTTGTGTGAGTGGGGATGCATGAGGAATCAATGGATGGATCTTGTTCCTATGTCCTTGGTCTCTTCACGAATGGGCAAGGAGCCATTATGGCAGGGGGTTACTATACAATTACTGTACATAGTTTGGCTAGCATCAAGAGCTTGTTCTTGTGGAATGACGTTTTTCGTAAGAACAATGCGTACAATCTATGGTAATGCTCTCCGCCAGATAACAATGCACCTTCTGGAATGTTGTATGGTAATAATAGGCAGAGGAGCTAGTGAGTGAGTGAGTGAGTGAGTGATTGATTGATTGATGGGGGATTCCAAATCGGGAATCCGCAGTCTCATTGCCATTTTGCATCGCTCATTTTATTGGATAGTCAGCAGTACCGCTGTGGCACTACTTTGCTTATTCATATGCTGTGCTTAGCTGCAGCTCTCATTGTATGTTGTGGCCTTTACGCGACCTGCACTGGGGTGTGCTGGGTGCTGGTGGCTCCTCTCAGCCGGACTATCACACCCCGCGTGTGCCATCTTCTGCATCAGGAAGACGGGTGCTGGCACCGCACCAAATTACCTCATTAGTGCAGTCTTTTTTTTTTTTTCTTTTTTTTACATCCGAGTACGGTGTGCTATAATCCAACTGACCCCGAGTATATACAGTGCAGTACAGTGCAAACAAACCCACTCGTCGATTCCTGACCCCGGCGACGAAAAGAAAAAAAAAAGAAAGAAAAAAAGACAAGCATGAAGCAGGGGATCAAGGGGGTGTATACCTGTGGTGTTTCTTGTGTTCCTCATCCACATACGCACGGGAGTCTGTCGTGGTTTGAATCGATCCATGTGGCTTCCGGTTTTGTCGCGCGGCTTCCAGGCCCATGAAATGATGATGATGACCTGTATCGCCGGCCTGGCCTAGGAATAATGCATGAGTGAGTTAGTGGAGGCCTGAGGCTTGCCTGGCTGGCTGGCTGCCTGCTAACGAGCGGAAACTTGTTTTTTTTCCCCTCTTTCATCCGCCCTTTACATTTTTATTCTTTTGCCCGCAGAAAAATTAAATGAATAAAAGCTAGCAGGCAGGCGATTCGCGCGAGTGCATCAGGAGTAGGACGAGTGACCTGATGCCAAACACCACCTGTCCAATGAGCAACCCTTGTTTTTTTTTTTGTGGAATGACTTATTCGTGCGGAGAGTCTTTTGATAAACATAGTACAGTACTATAATGTACACTAGAGTACTTGGAAATGCTTTACAGGAGTGCAATTAATTGAAATGAAGTATAGAAACGTATGCTCACATGATTGGTTGAGGAGCAATCGTGCAATGTTCATTGTTTCGGATCAAGTGGCCTGTTTGACTGGCCCTATTTTTTTTTCTTCCTTTTTTTTTTTTTTTTTTTTTATTCCTTCCTNGGCTTGTTGGTCGGGCCTTTTTTTTTTTTCTTCCTTTTTTTTTTTTTTTTTTGCTCCATCCTGGTTTGGGAAGGGGATTGGAAATCCTTGCTGTGGCTGTGTGTACCCTACTGATGTGAATCGTCGTGGTGCTAGTGGCAGGCTTTCAGCGATGGCGGCTTCCGACACGTGCAGACCTGCGGGCTTTATCCATCATCTCCTTGCAGAGAGTGGAAACCTGTGTTTCACTCGTGCATCTCCTCTCTGGGCCACGTAAATGTAATACTCACTCACTATGTGCTACAGTACAGTAAATGGGCTTAGAGAGGCTGACCATGATTCCTTCATGACCCATTCATTGGATTGGATGATGATGAAACCTGCTTCCATCTTCCTCAATCTCCTGCGGAATAAGTAGTGACTTATTCATTTGACTCCTTTCTCTGAGCCGACAGTAATGGGAAAAATGCGGGGTTAACTTATTAGGTGGGATACTGATCTATATTGCTGTACCTGAATGCAGACATGTGGATATTTAGTCGATGTACGGGGCAGTTCAATAATGTAGAGTATACGGAAAATAGTCTGTTTTGTTGTGTCATAATCATGAAGAAAGAGACTTCATTTGCCTGCTGGTCACAGATGGTGTCTTGACTCCTTTGCTGTTATTTGCCTTTGCATGAGTTTTCTGACGCGTGTGTTTAAGGATCTACAAGGTTTCTCTACTTTGTTCAAATTGCAGCAATAATGTGGAGAAATGAGGAAAAGTAGAATAAAGAAGATAAAAAGAGAGTTGCCCACGATAATATATACTCGTACAGTATTGGACCAAGAGGAGTTGGGAAAGATTTGATTACAGTCACAGTTAGTTGCATGATTTCCCCTGAGGAACATTCTCTGTCTCTGTCTCTTGCTTGGTCTCTCATTGTAATCTTTCATTTCAACGCACAGCATTATGCAAGCATCCTGCATCTATACCTGCTGCTCTTCAAGGCAGAAAAGCTGCTGCTGTTCTAGGCAAGAACTGACGGGATGATTGTTTTGAGGAGGGGAAGGGGGCTATACGGCTAAATTTATTTCTCTTCCTTTCATGCCTCTTGGTTTTTATCCAATAAGATGGGCTTGTCCATGCCTGGGTCTGTGTCTATGATTATGAAATTTTTTTTTTTTACAATACTGTACACTGCAACAAAGTCAGAACAGCTGAGAGTACTGGAATATAATGTTGTTGTCTTTTTCTTTCTTTCTCTTTGCCGGTTTTGCAGAACGTACAAGTGCCACACATGCTTTGTGGTCCAAGAACGGCACCGGAACGTATTGCAGTATAAAGAGAGTGAGTCATCTTCATTTGATTTATGCACTGTACATTATCAATACGGATACTGTACTGTACTTCTTCTTCTTCTTCTTAATTCTGAATGATTCATTCATTCATTCATTCATTCATTCAATATGACGAGGCATGATACTATATTGATGACTTGCAGGTGCGTATTGCGGAGTGCTGAGCAGCCTGGATGAGGTGTGTGGTGAGATTGCAGGTGACGCCGAGCTTCACACGCTGTTCCGTCGCAGTGGCACTGGCATGATGGCCAGCACCCCGGTGGAGTGTCCGTTCCATGGCCCATTCACCTTCTCGTACGATCGGGGCGGTGGTGTGTGCGAGGACCCCGTGTCCCGCGTGGATGCCTGCACCAAGTCCAGTCGACTCTTGTTCCGGTTCCAGGCGTGTCACAGTGTCCGGTCCGAGAGTTCGGAGGAAGAGCTCGAGTGCCTGGCCACGTGGAAGGATGGCTCCAAGACGTACTTGGTGGGTCGGATGCAGCAATCGTCGTCGTCGTCGTCCATAGCAGCAGCAGCAGCAGACAAGGATGCCTTCCGCTGCTTCCTCTTTGACCGGGACAAGGCGGGTCATGTGGTGCATCTGGCCCAGTCTGGGGACGCGTCGTGTTCCGGTGTGCTCTCAGCCACAGACGGGGCCCGCACGCTCAAGCTCACCAAATGTACGTACTGTACTGTACTGTACTGTACTGTACTGTACAAACTCCCCTGTTTAGTTTACGTCGTGCTTCTATTCTGTATAAATATATTCTCGACCGACCTGCGTCCTTCTTCAACAGTGAGTCAGAATCGGATGAGGAACTGCTCATTCCCCCACTGGTTCACGTCATCTAGGAATAATGGCATTGGCAACAAGTGGCACACGCTGGACGGTGGGACAACATTCCGGACTGATGGGTTCGGCAACACGCTGCACATCAGTGGCAATGAATGGGACATTGGTGACTCAGTCATGTCAGTCTCTTCGTCTTCATCATCTTCCTCCTCCTCCTCAATTTGGCTCCACCAACAACAGGAATCCCGGTCGCTTGACACAGCAGACAGGAAGGTCACGTGTGTTGAGCGGAAGGAGTCGGACACCAAGGACCAGGACGAGCATGAAGTCCTTATTCTGGCCTATGCTGTGCGAGGATGGTGAGAGAGACAGGATATAAAGTACAGTAGTAATGAGGCATATTTATTTTCTGCTTTTCCTCATCAATTTGTTTTCTTTTTGGATTCAAGCTATAGACTGGGTCATCATCATCATCATCATCATTGTTGTTAGCCAAACTTTCATTAACGTCTTTTCGTGTCATCATAATAAACCATGATCTTGCCTCATTTTGTAACTGCTGCCTCATATAGTAAGAGTCTTCTCAATCGTCTTGTCTATGTCACAGCAGGTCTGACCGGTCAGGATCAACTCAGTCCAGTAAAAAAAAAAATCAGGCACAGTTACTTAAGGCACGTTTGTACTTTCACTTTCACTAATACAGTAAAAGTTTTGACAGACACACATTCACTTTGATTAGCTTATTGTCATGCTCAGCTCTGGTTGAGTGCTGTAAACGGAATGAGGTGGCCAGCCTCTTGAGTCAACATTTGTGATTTGCCTGACCCAAGCGTGCACGGTATTGCGTTGGCTGTTTTGTGATTGGGCCTTAAAACAAAGTACAAAAATCATCAAACTAGCATGCCAGGAATGGTTTTGCGTGGGACAGTATGGCTGTGCCAATGGCCATTATTACTGTATATCTTACTTGATTGACCTGTCATTTTGACTTTTTGAGCATATACATAAATAATGTATTCAGCACCTGTTGTTGTGAATCACTATATATTCCATGAATTACATTGTTATATTGTGCTTTTACATGCGCAGGATAATTTGTTTCATGCTGGCATGAAGGTGTATTGACGGAATGTCTTCAAGGGCCATAAACCCAACAAACAGGACAGGGTTGTAGTATGGAATATCATAATGTATGTACAGGATCTTGATCTACAGCGGTCTTAAAACTCGTATTTCTGAGCATTGTTGGCTAAATATAGGGGATAGATGAAGATGATGTGGTTGAGGGGTTATTTCTTGCATGATCAAACCTTAATCATACCGGGCTGTCTTTGTTAATACAGTACTGTATCTTGATTGCAGTGCTGGAGTGTATTTGTGCATGCGGTTTCACTTGCGGGACAAGCATGTGGTGGAAATTGAGACTGGCCAGCCTGCCAAGAGCCCCGACTTTGCATGTGGTGACTATTTCTTTGTGTCATCGCGGCGGAAAACGACGACACTTGTGGGTGAGTGTTGTCCAACAATCCTCCATTGTCAACCTGTACTCTGTTTTTTTTTTTTCATTGTCTTCATCTCACTTCTTTTTTCTTGGTGGTGTTTGGTTTCAATCCTGGCAGCAATGTCGCCAAAGGAGATGGCATGTCCCATGGTTGGCAGGTTTGCAGTGTTGCCGCCACTGACAACCAGGGAGGAATCTGCAGGAGGGAGTCAAGACCATCACCCACATCACTACTCTGACCAACAGGATGGACTACTGCACCAACAGGCCCCCGTGGGCAAGGCAATAAGGCGGCGGCGGAGGAGGAGAAAAAGAAGCAGGAGGCGACGAAGGCACAACGGAGATGCGATCTCTGCCGCTGGAGCAGCTGAAAGCCTTCTTACCTTCTGTCCTGCCTCAATGGCTTCTGCTGGTGGAAGCAGCAGGGCCACCACAAGCAATGCTGCCATCAGTCATGTTGGTGGTGGTGGTGGTGGTGGTGGTGGTGGTGCGAGGCCTAGACACCACGGGATTGATGCAGACCATTTTCTCCATCACAACAATGGCGAAGAAGACCATAGGGATAACCAACAGGAGTACCTAGGATCCAAAATGGATGAGATGCTCCCAAGATTCTCATCATTGCACGTTGGCTGCAGGGACAATCGGCGTCTAGAACTGACGGCTGCTTGTCAAAATGCCCCTGATGTGATAACAGGTGTGCTTCTTTTAGCATCACTATATACTGTACAATGAACAATTGAACGGATGCAGCGAATGTGTCATCTTGCCTTTGCCAAGTCGAAATTGGATAAATTTATATGAATTTCTCATCAATGTTTAACATATTTCTTTTTATTTATTTTATTTTTTCTTTCTGCCCTGTCGGATGTCTGCAGAATATCGGTGTCACGGGAGCTGGGAAGACAACGGCACGCAGTTCCTTATTGTTTCCCCAGTGTCCAGTAGCAGGGACATGGTTTACTTGTGTCTTGCGTCACGGGCAATCACCACCCAGGCAATGCCATCTGGGACGTATGGTCCAACCACAGCTGCCAGCTGGGTAGCAAACGGCTACACAGGTATTGCTGCGAATGGAATGAGCAGTAGTGGCGCATTCGGCTCCGGTGGCATCACACTAGTCTCCTACCAGACAATGTCATGCGAACCGCCAGCCATTACGGGCATCCAGTCCATCTCATTCAACGTCACTCTTATGGGTGAGGGATTTCATCGACAACTTTCATAATGCATAAAAATCTCACGAGAAAATAGAGAGAAATGCAAGAAGACAGACCTTTTCTTTGCATGCAGCACTTTGTTGTGTAATCAGCACATAACTGTATCAGCTAGGAGGATTGTGTGCCCTCTTGTTCTACAGTTCTTTAAAATACTGTACTGTATTCTTGATTCGTGTGTGCATTCATTCAACAGGGCAATGCGCTCAACCTTTGTCAAGTGCGACGAGCATCAACAAGAGTCCAGGCAGCCGTGGATCCTCGCATCATTGGCTGTCATCAATGATGGTCATATTCGGCATCATGTTCTTGTCCTGAAACTGGTTCAGCTTGTACCGGTTCTTGTCACTTTGTGATTGGCCAGTCAACGTGCTGTTTTATTTATTTTTTTATTTCGGCATTGATTCCCTTTTTTTTTTTTTACTTTGCTCTGAAGTCTGTGATGAGAAAAAAGGAGAAAGAATATGATGATGATTTCCAAGCAAAGAAGATGCGTTGATCGTGTGAGTTTCACAAGATGGACGGGGTGATTGATTGGGAAGGAGTGATGCAGCATGCTCCACCAAAAAGCACCGCAACCTGGTCCTTAATGTGAAAGGAAACATGTTGGACGCATGCGCGCCTGTGATACTGATTTTGCAATACCACGTCGTTTGAAGCCCGGTCTGAGTGAAACATTTTTGAAACGAGAAGGAGAGAGAGAGAGAGAGAGGCGATCCAGCCGCTGAATCGCAGCTTTTTTATTTTAGGATTTTTCATGGGCAATGTGAACGGCTTTTCCTCTCTTTATGCCTTGATGTCGCCAGATGCAGATGATCTTGGATTGAAAGGTTATAGGGATGTGAGGAACAGAGACGTATAATAAGAATAGGATGAGGCAGTTCTGTGGAATTTCCCCTGTAGTGTTTCACGCGCATGATGTTTCCCTGCTATAATGACTGCATGTTTAAGCAAATTACTTGAGAGGTGTGCGAGTACAATATAGGTGTACATACGTTTTGACGCTAGGATACCCCAAAGAAGTGTTGAATGTTGAGTTCTTTGCATCCTTCTCCATTATTTCGTGAGTTCGTGTTGAGATCGGCGTTGGCTTCCGGACCGAGGATTTGCTTTATATTTTGTGTTGCGTACGTGTGACTTTGGGACAAAGAGGAAGATAAGTTGTTGCGATTCAAGATGATATTGGTGTTCTTGACTTCGTTCTCATAAATTTGTTCAATATTCTGAGAAAAATGAAGGTAAGAGCGCCCTCTTTAGTCAGAAGGTAGGAGAGAAGACGAAGTGAGGAAGGAGTGGAATACGTGGAAGGCAGAGAATGTCCGCTCTACAGACAATGCCTGGTGGGTTCTGCGGTCTGATTGTACAGCCACCAAGAGGTCCATGCGCATGGCCAGGACCAAGATCCCTCCAGTGTGCACTACAGTATATATATTGACTCATTTATGGACACCAGGTGAGGTATATATTGTGTATTTATATGTACAGAACAGCTTGCATACAGCATACGTCAATTTACATATTTCTTTTGAACTTTGATTTATTACATGTTCTCATCAGTTATTTGTCAGAGAGTTGGCGAATCAATTGAATTTCTTTCATTGTTCTTGTACATTATTGATTTCTGAGAGGCTAAGCATTTGAATTTATTTTCCAGATGCAATCCAAAGAAGGGGAGAAAGAATTTACTTTACGTGCTGATGCGTGTGGGATTGTCGTGGCTGAAACTCTTGCCATCCCTATACGTGCGGAACTGGCTCTGTGGAGTATCTCGTCCTAGAATATGTCGGTGTGATGATGACAATTCCAAGATTATGCACTTCATTGAGATGCCCATTGATGTTGAGAAAAAACTAAGTGAGACTTTTTGCAATTCACCGGGAATTACTTCGTAAGTGTATTTACTCATTTAGTATGTGTAATACATGAATGATGGTGACGCAACGACGGATATCTGATGAATACGCCAAGTATGAAAAACGTTTTCTGACCTGAGTAAAGCTTCTCGAATATCACTTCTCTTGGGGAAATTATGAAAATTGTACACCGTCTCAATTTTTTGTTGCTGATAATAATATCATTCTTGATGGGTATTTGTTTGTCGGGAAGGCGGTGAAATGAGAAATATCTTTTGAATTCTGGTTCATACATAAGATGTAATTCTTTAGGACCTTCAGCTTCTATACTAGCATTGCACGATTTGAGAAATTTGGGAAATGAGGGATTATGTTGTGCGTCGACATTTTACTTATAACAAGTTGAACTATACATAGTACAGTATTTGAAACAAAATTTTCCTCAAATCTTCGTACTAGTTGGCGTTCTTCAGAAATTAGTGTGAATCAGAAATGAAGGAGCGCACATTTTTTGAATGATCTCATTGTAAAAGACCTCATAATTGTGTAGAACCACAGTCCTGAGAAATTGACTACGTTTTATATTCAACACTGACTGGCACCTTTTCATTCGTTCCGTGATTTGAATATCAGCAGCAGGTCGCCGAATTAATGATCAACGTCCGCATGGTGAGGAATGCAAGTCGGAAGCGGCAGTGTCACAGCTCTGCTGCTGCCATCCAGCACAAAACTTGGTACGTGTTACAGTTCAGCATCGTGCTCCGAATCAGATTTTCTGGCCCTTGATGCGGCATCTCACACAAAGACAACGGCCACAGCCCCAAATGACGTGACGCAAGTCATATGCTCTTTGAATGATCCATGCGCTTGTCAGATTGAGTAACAGGGAACTGGAGAACTGGAAAGAGAAAAAATTCCTTTCTGGCACTTGCCAGCACTCTCTTCAACTGACAAGACATCGCAGCAGCAAAAGCCATTTCTGGATGAAGTTCTAGGATTTGGATGCCACTCTTTTGTTGGTCATCATGGATCCAGGAACTGAAGAAGAAGAAGACTGTGGTGGCATCACAGTCATCTACGTTTTCGGGATCTATTTTCAATCCCATGAGAATATATTTCTTCCTTTCTTGGGGAAACGGAGGTTACTGTCAATAAGTTATGGCAGAAGCTATTTCTCTTCGATTACTGTATGTCCCATTTTAGGGCCTAAAAGACATGTCTTCCTGATGAACAAGCGATCAGTGGTGCGTTACAAATTAAATGTTCACATTTTACAATTCTGCATGTTTGAAGAGGAAATTACTTGATTTTGGATTTGGTTTAATAAAAAAATATTTTTCCTGACTTAGCACCGAAAGCTATCGCGGACAAGAATAGAAGAATTTTAGAATGTTCGTGCTCTACGACTGTGGACAGAATAAGGAACACGTGATGGGATTCGTCTCAATTTTGCTACATTTTCTGTACTGCGAAATGGTTTCAGCTATAAAGTGATTTCATTGTCATGAGTTTTTCACTGTCTGCAGTTTGTTTTTACTAAGATTACGTTGAGGTCCTCGATTTAATCAACGATATAATGTTACGGGAAATACCATGCAGGGATACAATATTTTAATAACTTGAGAAAATCGGAAAAATCTATCATGGTTTTGAAAAAGAATTGAAATTTTGTGGAAAAATCATACCCAATAATTTGATTTGATTGGGAAGACACATTTTTGTTGCAGTATTGAACCCAAGAAAAGCAAATCTTAAGAGAAGGTTTCTCAAACAAGATAAAAAAATTCTGAAAAACAAGTTCTCATCTTTCTTTCACTTGAGAAGGTGTGCAGTACAATATCAATTCTTTGATTCTGCCAAGAATTTTATTGAAAATACGTTTTCTACTCAATTTCACGCGGAGAAGTGTTTGGATGTCACATATGAAATATTTAGTCCAAGGTGGTCTTTGTATGATCATCAACATGAACATGGATTCTCAATCAAACAGAATCATTGTGTATGATTGTTTCTAACCATTCTATTTTTTATTTCCATGATGGAAATTTTCCAGAACATGTTTTATTTTTTCCAAATTTTTAGTTTAAAAGTTACATTTGAAGCAAGTACAGTAGTAGGGGGAAAAAATAAGCTCAAAAACGTTTTATCTATGGAATGTTTATATACTGTACAAAAAGGTGTTTGTTCTGCATGGTTCCATTTATTGTACAGTACTATATATACTGTATA